ATCAAGCTATGCATTATATTCAAATTTACTAGTATATAGTATATAGTAATATATAGTAATATATATAATAATATATATAAATTTTAAAATTAAAAAATTTTTACTTTATTATTTTATAAATGTCAAGTATAGGAATAGGATAATACATTATAGCATCTTCAGGCACTTAATTATATAAATACAACCAATAATCATAGAGACTTAAAAATAATTCATGTGAGGTAGAATGTTTTAATCTCAGATAAAGTTCAAGCACAATTCCAGTCCTTGCTCTATATTGTTCGTAAATTGTATCTATCGATTGAGCAGTGGAACTCGCTGTTCCAACGGTAACACTTATACCATGCACAACCACTAAATGTAAATTTTCTAGTGAATCAAAAGAAAGTACAGTCCCACCACTATCACATAAATATTAATTTCCGCGTGGAGCCTTCCTTCAGAGTGCATCTATACCTAATACATATTGATAACGGAGAGTCATTCTTCCGGAACAACCTAATCCAGCACACCAGACAACCTATCGAGAGAGGCTTCGGTCGTCGATACTTCGGGGTAAGAATACAAATCGATGATCGCACTACTATGCCACTTAGTAGTTGATCGATAGTTTATTTAATGAATGTGGGGGTAACAAAGTATTTAGTTATGAATTACGAACCGGAATATCTTCCCTCAAGGGTGAGAGCCTTTATTATACACTTTCTTTTAATTAGAGCACATTATACATCTTATTCACGATATATCATTTTATATTGCCTATACTGATTATACTGATTATGCTGACTACAGTATAACCTCGATATAACGAACCTCGATATAACGATAACGAAGATTATTTCTAATTTTTATGTTTAAATTATCCCTGATATAACGAAACTATTAATAAAGTTTTGATATAACGAAGAAAACCTCCAGCTACAGAGCTTCGTTATATCGAGGTTATACTGTATACCCCATGATTCTCTTTATCACCATTAAACAGTGTATACAGCCGCCGGAATCCCATTTATGGTAATTGATCGCCATAACGAATTTGAAGACCACCACGTGTTCCCAGGCTCAATATCCACAAGTAAAATGCGTAAATTAAATGATTCTCCGATTGATTATCAAATTAAATTGATTTTTATTTAACGATATGCTTCAATTATATTGATTAATCTTTTAACTTCCAGATCGACATTTTCCGAGACAAGTTCTCATATGAACATTATGGCTAGATACAGGTGCACCATCACTTATAATTAATTCTTTATATTAATCAGCATCATCATTTCTTACAGCAAATGATCATTTTTAACGCTGAAATAAATACATGACTATCATTTTTCCAATATAAAAAGATAGAAAATAATTCAACAGTGAAAAGTAAAATCGCTTTTCAAAGACGGTGAGTTTTTATCAAAGCAATGTCCTGCGATTATAAGGAATAAATCATCTGGTTAATTTTCATTCATTGCCAAAAAACTAGCAGAACAATAATCATAACTAATGTTATTATATATCCTACTTCCACCTAATAATTTAATTTTTAATCACCAGAATCAACATCGCGTTGTGGTTATATTATATTTTGTGGACCAGGTGGAGGGACTGCATAAATTATTTTCGGGTTCAAGAGTTCTATAACATTGATGAACTCTGTATTGTCATAAAAATAATCGTTCCATATCAGTATAAATATGACCATCTCATTGGTATACATGGGTGCCTAAATTATTTTTGAAAATTTGTATTTTCGGCAAACATTTCGGCATTGCTAAATATTTTATATGAAACCCTTCGAAATAACTATATTATACGATGTATTTTGATGAAAGGAGTTCAAAAAATTTCGGCAATAATTTCGGCAGATATGAAAATTAATTTCGGCACTATATAAGAATAATTTTAGCTGCCTAAATACCGTAATTACTTTTTTATTAAGATGGGCAATTTAGGCACCCATGTATACTCGGTGGGGTATTTGATATACTATGCAAATCAAATTTATGTATAGTCCTATATGAATGTTTGAATAGACAATTTTTTGTGTATCGATTACGATTACTTAGCAGAAACTTGAATTTTTGCCATTTTATGATTATCATATGATAGTTATATAACTATTATATGATAAAAATA